AATGATAATAAATATGAAAATAATAAAATTATGTAAATAAATATAAATAATAAATATAAGTGACAAGTAAATATAAATAATAAATGTAAATGATAAATAAATATAAATAATAAATATAAAAATTAAACCGTTAACCGTTAAATTAATAAATAATATAATATAATAAATATAATATATATTATTAATTATAATTAATATATTTATATATATATATATATATATATAAATATATAATATAATAAATTAATTAAAAGAAACCGTCAAATCATCCTTTCAAAAACCAGATATAATATATTATAACCGATTATTATATTATTAGAATGTAATTATTAATTGATATTATTATTAATTTATAATTCATTTAGATTATTATAGTATAACCGATTATTATAATATTATTAGAATATGATTATTAATCAATATTATTATTAACTTATAATTAATTTAAATTATTATAATATAACCGATTATTATATTAACAATTAATTAAGCAACAATTAACTATTGCCTCGGATAAAAGAGTGATCTCTTTTAACGTCATCGTTTTAATACCCAAAAGTATTCGAGCTATTCGATCCATTTCCGAAAAATCTTATTATTAAATCTTAAATATTATTAAGTCTTATTCTTAAAAATTCTGAAAAATCGGCCGAATATTTTCAGCGAGTAACTGTAGAACAAACTCGCTGTTAGAAAAATCAGCTGCGACATTTCTCAAATTCGGTTTGAAAAATCCGAACATCGTGGAAAAATTATTTTGCGCGTTAACTTTTAAAACCCAATCAGCTGTTACAATAACAATAACAACAACAATCAGCTGTTCGTTATCCGAAGATTCAAAGAACGACGGCCCGTTCGATCTCAAGTGAACCTATATTAATAGATCGTCGGAAGATGAATCATTTCTTGAAGGAGATCTTTTCCATTCAACCTTCGCACCGCAACCTCTGCGCGCGCGCGCGCACACACGAGATCGTGAATCGAAACTTTGAACTGTCGGCGTCACAAGATTTTCGTCCGGATTTTTTACGGGTCGTTTCCCGAGCGAAGACACGCATTTTAGGTTAGGGCACGCATTACGGTTAGAGCCTTCCGACCGCTGGTTTTGGCCAGCCGGATCCTGTGGTTAAATAATTATTCTTCGGAAGGGGCGAAGAATGGCCGGGAAACCCTTTGTGAAAGCGTTCCAAGAGAAACGCGCGAGTAACGCGAGCGACGAAAGCTCGTGGGTGGGCTCCGAGGATTCTCGCGCCGAAACAAATTCCGTCGACTTCAATTTGTCGTCGACCGTGTCCGTCGGGAATGTATATCCGTCCGCGAAGCGAAATGGACCACTTTGAATCGGAAGTCGACGGAGAACCGACGCTCAGTTAGAACAGCCTCGTGAGTGTAATAATAAAATAGTATTAATTATATGGCTAATTATATCTACTAGGAAATAGTACAGTATAGCATAATAGTATAATACTAATAATAATAATATAATTAATAATATTATAATATAATATATAATAGTATAACAATAATATTAATGCAATTATTAATATTATAATATATAATATATTAGTATAACATTAATATTATAATATAATATAATAGTATAACAATATATTATAACATAATATATTAGTATAACAATAATATTATAATATATTATAATACTATATAATAGTATAATAATATATTATAACATAATATATTAGTATAACAATAATATTAATGTAATTATTATTATAATATAATATAGTAGTATAACAATAATATTATAATATAATATTAATATAATATAGTATAGTATATATAGTATAGTGCAGTGTAGTACAGTGCAGTAACAGTGTACAGCACAAACACTGTAATTAGTAAAATAATAAAAAAGAAAAAGATAACAAGAACCGAGCTATAAATTCTGTTCTTAAAAATGTCGCATGTCGCAGCCGTCGTTTCGCGGTCACGTTGTATAATCGACGATCGACGTGCTTCAATATCGCCGCAAGACGGTAACGAACGACGAGTTACCACGGGAAACGAATTTTTTTTTTTTCATCAGGTCTCGAAGATTTTCGAACAGCGCGAAAGTGTCGCAAGGTGTCCGAAAAGACACGACAATATTACGACGATGCCGCCTTATCGATTCAGGGCGTATAAACACGGTGTCGAAATGAAATAGATTTCGTTGCATTAATCGATAACGACGCACGAACCACGTATATTATGTACATATCCTCCGTCCACGAATTCTGTTCCTGATAAACTAGCGGAGAAGCTTACGATTGTATCACTGCGATCCGATGCGTGTAACAACTTGCGACCGATATCCGACATCTACGAAACGTTTCTCGTTCGCGTGTCTGTTTGACACACGGAATATTCCATTTCGAAGAAAGTAAAGAAAACCGGAGATGCAACGCGAAGTACAATGGTTCTTGCGTACGTTCTCGGATCGATTTGTCCGATAAAAGCTCTCTGATGCTTGCAACGTCTCTTCCAGAGTTTATTATTATTAATATAATAATATAATATAGTTGTGTAACAATAATATTAATGTAATTATTAATATTATAGTATAATATAGTAGTATAACAATAATATTAATGTAATTATTAATATTATAATATAACATAGTAGTATAACAATAATATTAATGTAATTATTAATATTGTAATATAATATAGTAGTATAACAATAATATTAATTTAATTATTAATATTATAATATAATATAGTAGTATAATAATAATATTAATGTAATTATTAATATTATAATATAATATAGTAGTATAATAATAATATTAATGTAATTATTAATATTATAATATAATATAGTAGTATAATAATAATATTAATGTAATTATTAAAATATTATAATATAATATACTAGTATAACAATAATATTAATGTAATTATTAATATTATAATATAATATAACACTATAACAATAATATTAATGTAATTCTTAATATAATAATATAATATAATAGTAGTATCTCCACTTCTCAAATTATCCATTTTAGTGGACAATCTGAGCGTCAGTTAGAGAGACATTACTGTATTTCGTAACACCAGTATCAATTTGGCTGAAAAATAAGAGATCTAAAATGCGTCGTTTAAAAAACAAGTGCAACTGTTCCGGGACAGTGACGTATGAATATACTTCACGTGGTGTTCGACAAATAAATCGTTTAGCCAAGTACTGTATACTCTGCTTAGAACGGGTAAACGTGGTAAAAAAAAGGGAGAGTGTAAACGTGGTAAAAAAAAAAAACACGGCGTTTGCGGGTTCGTTTTATCGCAGCGTGGGCAACCGGCAAGAGAAATCAAATGTTTACAGCGTGCTCGAAATTGTTTGTTTGTGAACCGTTGCACTATTCGTCGGTCGGCTGACCGCGTTGTTAGATTCCGAACGCGCGACAGCTTCCCACGGATGTTTCTTTCGGCCGTCTTTTCCCAGGCCGTGCCTAACCTAACCCCTAGCGCTAGGTCCATTTGAACGCGCGCGGTCCGTAAACGAATTCATCTGGACGCGTTCGAACGCGTTTCCCATTGGTCCGATTCGTCGATACGCGATCGCACGCTAAGAAGAAAGATGCTCCAATCATGGAGCATTCCCGTTGCGTTCCCATGAAATCGGTAATTAAGATCGTCGACGTAATTCATCGATGAATTTCAATTTCAATTACGTTAAATTAAAATAAAATTATTCAAGTTCCCCGCCGATCGGTTCGAGATCTCGATCTCTCCGCCTCCCCCCTCCCTCCCATCCTTGCCGTTAACCGTTTGGCTGCTGACGTATTTTTTCATAATAAGAATAGCGTATATAATAAGTAGTGTACATAATAAGAAAAGCGATAGCGCTCCTCAGCAGTCGAAAGGTTGACAATTCTTCGAACAGTTGCCGCGGCGAGAAGAATAAATAAATGCTTACATGAGATCGCCTCCTTGGGAATGTCGCTTTCCGGGAAACCCTGTGACTCGAAGTACGGCGTGACAGGTTCGCAGTTTAATCCGGCGTGCACCGTAACCGTGGCGACGCTAAGGAGCAGGATAACGCACAACATCGAGGACACGCCACTCGTCATCATCATTCCTGCGGGAATCACACGCGGCACAATCACCAACTTTCACGACGACGATGACAACGACGACCGATACGTGGTGGTGCGCGACCCTCGCGAGTCTAAACATTCGCGGCAAACCGAACGGCTTTTAGGATCGTCGCGAACGGCTCTGCGAGAGCTTCTCACGATCCGAAACGAACCGCGCCACGATGATGTGTCGTCGGTGAGACGTTTGAAGGCGGAGAGGGGGGTGGTAGTGTTGGGCGATTTAAATCCGTGAAAGGGGGATGCAACGCGATGCGATATCAAGATACGTAGCGGTGCAACGCTCCCCTCACGACGACACGAGACGCACTGACCGACCCGTTGAGGCGACCGCATGCCGGCTACTCCGCGCATGCGCGCCGTCGCGGGTGCGCGCGCCTCCACACCGGTCTCGATTCGAAACGTGGCGCGACTCTCCGCGCGCTTCGTCTGCACACGCGACGCACCGATTAGGTGCGTTTCGTCGGGTTATAAACTATAATACAGGATCGAACAATGTAACGTTGACTTTCGTTTTCCGTGCATTTTTCTTTATACTTTGCGATATTCGCTCACGAATGCATAAAGATTCGCTGCTTCGTTTTATTTCTGTCGGTAAAGTCAGTCTCTGCAATAAATCCTTGATTTGAAATTGTTTCTTGATACAACGACGATTACTTTGTCGCCACTTCGACATGATTTCTTCGACGTTCTCGTGATTTTCAAGATTTCGAAACTGTGGTTAAACGAAGTTAAATTATTTTTACGCTTATGTTCGTTTCTTTTGCTCAAATAGGACGTTTCGAACGTGCTCGGTCATACTTTCATCGAAAGCACCGCGATTACTTGAATATTTATCATAACAAGTGAATTTTTATCGGCGTAGGTTGACAGGATATTAAAAGAAAAAAAAACGAGCGAATCAGTTCAAAATATATTTATATGTATATATATATATATATCTTCGTGCAATAACCGTGTAAACAACTTTACAGAAATATATCCTGCCGTTGGGATGATATGATAATACTCGTATAAATGGACGGTATCGATATCGCTGTTACCGACCGCGGGTAAAAGCGAGCGGAGCAAAGAAGTATAGCGGATATAAGTTTCAACGAGATTGCGGACAACAATAAATGAATCTGCAAACGATTCTTAACGATGACTCAAATAGATGCCGATTACATATTGTTCCAACGAATATTCGTCGCGCGAGAAAAAAGAAACGCGCGCGCCTAAATCTCGCGACGTACTCTCGGTCCATAAAACAGCGTAACGGTATAAAAGATATTTAAGCGTGAACGATTATGAGATCCGATGGTCGGTTCGCTGTGCTCGCGAAACGATTCCAAATGGCCGGTATCGATATCGCTGTTACCGGCCGCGGGGCAAAGAAGTAGCGAGCATACAAGTTTCAACGAGATTGCGAACAACAATAAATGAATCTGCAAACGATTCATAACGATGACTCAAATAGACGCCGATTACATATTGTTCCAACGAACATTCGTCGCGCGAGTACAAAAAACGCGCGCCTAAATCTCGCGACGTACTCTCGGTCCATAAAACAGCGTAACGGTATAAAAGATATTCAAGCGTGAACGATTATGAGATCCGATGCTCGGTTCGCTGTGCTCGCGAAACGATTCCAAACGGCCAAGCCGGTCGTCATCTACATGTACGTGACGGTGCTGTGACACAAGGGGCAGGCATTAATATTAACGACGTCCCGCTCGGTGGCTACGTGATGCCTGCAAACGGTGCATATCCAAGCGTTGCTGAGGTCCATCAACGGTTTCCCGGACACGATACAGGCAGGAAATCTGGTCATGCAGTTCGGACAGGCGACGCACCAATCCGGCACGAGGCTCTCGCAGTTCGCGCACTCGGCCTTCGCGTTGCGCGCGTCCTTCGGGCTGTGCTTCGTAAAAATATCCACCGCCAAGTTCTCGTACTCCTCCCTGGCCGGGTCCGGCACGGTCTCCAGCGACTCCAGCTTGACGAACGCCTTCGAGCAGACGGCGAAAGCGCGATTAACGGCGCTGGACAACGCCAGCAAACAATACACGTGCTCGGGTTCCAGGATGTCCTCGTAGTCGCGAAGACGGAGCGCCGTCTTCATGGCCGCGTCGAAGTTCGCCGAGTAGATCTGCCTGTGCGCCAACAGAAGGAAGTGATAGGCCTCCGCGCCACGCCAGGCGTTCTCTATCACGCGGGTGTCCTCGTTGTTCTCAGCGAGACCCATTACAACGTTGCTGCGGGTGCCCTTGACCGACGGCGCGCTGTTTATATGGTCCTCGATCAGCAACGCCGCAAGAACGTAGATCTTCTTCACGCGCAGCGGGCTGGTCCTGCACTTGGCCTGTTCCTCGGCCAGCTGAAGCAGCAACTTCGCCGCCTCTAGATTGTAGTTCGCTTTCTTGTACAGCTCTATCGCTTGCAGCCTCTTGCCATTGGACAGAAGGTGGACAGCGTACTTGTTCAGCAGCTCGCCGATCTGCGCCATTTTGTAGGTCTTCGCCAGCTCGACCGCCTGGTCCCAGTGGTTCAGCCGGACGCACGTGTCCACGGCCAGCTTCACGTCCCCGTATTTGATGTAAGCGGCGACGGCCTGCGAGCACATGCCCACAGACGCCAGCAGCCTGGCCACCGTCTTCAGCAAAGGACTCTTGTCCGGCAATTGTTGCACCGTTCCAGCGAGCTGATTGAAATCCTCCAGCTTGTAGTAGCATTCGACCAACTTCTCCAGGTTCCTACTCTTTTCATAGTACTCCCTAGCTCCCTCCCAGTTCTGTCTCTCGGCGTAGTACTCGCCGATCTTGTTGTAAGCGTGCTCCATCTGCTTGTCGGAGCCGCCGATGCCCATCTTCATCAGCTGCACCACGCGGAAGTAGTCGCCCAGCTTCTGCCGCAAGGTAATCGCCAGGTCCCGCCTGTCCATGTCCAAATACAGCTTCTCCGCCTCGTCGTAGTTGCCCAGATAAGCCGCCACCTCCGCCCTCTTCAGCTGGTCGTTGTGCACGTTCTGCAAACGTTTGATGAACTGTATACCCAAGTAATCCGAGCAACGTACCATCGCGTTCTCCGCCGTCTCCAGGTCCAACTTTTGCAGCGCCGACTCCGCCAGCAGACGCCACAACCGTGGATGCGGATTGTCCTGGATAAAGTTGTTCGCCTCTTTCGAGCCGACCTTGATCAGCAGCTCCCTCGTGTCCCTCAAGGACTTCACCTCGAGGTCCACTATCAACTCGTTCCTCGCGTCGTCCGGCTTCTGCATCAGGTCGTCCAACAGGACGCAGCGGATCTCCAGGTCTTTGAACGAGCAGATGTAACCGGAACAGGAGATCGGCTCTTCAGGGTCGAATTCTCTCAACACGTACATCCTGGTCTTCTCCATGATCGCCAGCAGAACCGGGTTGTCCTCCGCCCAGCACATCGCCCACACGTCTTTCCTCTCGAACTTCTTGATGTCGTCCGCCGACTCGCCGTCTTTCGGCGGCTTTCTGCTGTCCGTCTCCAGGTCCAGCATCGTCAGCACGCCGCACGTGTCCATGATAGAGGCGCGGGACGAGTCGCAGTTGATCGCGATTTTGTACAGCTTCGTGGTCGTGTTGTATCGGTTGGTAAGGGTCACCTGCGGCAAGGAGTAACGTTGAATCATGCCCGATTCTCTGCCGATCAATAGAACGGTCTCGGACGCGGACAAACAGCAGATCGGGTCCATGGTCGGCTTCGTGTTGATCGGCGTCTCGAACGATCTGTCCTTGTCCAGATCTTGGATCACTTCCGTCACACCAGTCGGCGTCTCGTCCACGTGGTAGATCTTTTCTCGTTTCGGCTTGCTCGCGTGCAACGACCCGTTCCGGGGAGTACGATAATTCCACACGAGAAAGTTGTTCTTCGACGCGGTGATCACCAGGCTGTTCGTCATGCTCACCCACAACGGCTCCAGATTGACGAACTTCGCGTCCACCGGGGTTGCTATGGAGTTGCAGACCAGAAGAGCGAACTGCTCTGTACCTTGTGTCGGATCGTTCATTACTGCTAGCACGCAGTGCTCCCCGTGCGAGTCTATCGAGATCAATGATCTCGCGTGTTTCGTGTAGCACGTGTTGTTCACCGTGTTCCAGAACATAATGGAGATCCCGTCCTTGCCGATCTTCTCGTTCGTGTACACGACCGTTTTACTGAAATAAGTCCATTTGTAGTCTAGCCGAATGTTGGCGAAGTATATATGCGAATCGATGGACAAGGCTACTCTGAGCGAGCCACCTTCCCAGGCGCAGCTGGTCACTTCTCTACCGGGTACCTTTAAAGTCCTCATATGTTTACCGAATGGTGTATAAAATTGAATCACGTTCGTATCCTTTGTCTCCCCGTTTCCCAGCAACGGCATCATACCTGTCACCGCCAACAAAGAGCCGTGGCTGTTCCAACAACACCATGCAGCTGTCACACCGGTTTCGAGGAGAATCGGATTGTCGTCGTTCGTGTGTCGCATCAGCTGTATCTTGCCATTTTTGTAGCAAATGGCCAGTGTTGGACAGTCCAGGGCCACGTAACCATTCCTGCCATCGTACCAGTGCAACGCCACGATCGTTTGGATCTGACCAGCGTTCATCGATATCGTATTCAACTTTGTTAAAAATACACCCTGGTCATCGTACAGATGAATCTCACCGGTCTTCAAGCCGAACAGTAACAGCTTTCCGTCCGGTGACCATTGAACGGCAGCAAGAGACACGCCTTTCAGTTCCTTTCCCCAAATTCTATTGCCGTCCACAGAACCAACGATGACAGTTCCATCTTCGTAAACTATGCATATCTTTAGACCGTCCGAACTCCACGACATTCCTTTCACTATGGACTTGTTGCCGTTGTTTGTCATCTCGTCGTACCAGGAACCTTTGTACAGCATCCAAACGATTATTAATCCAGTGTCGTCGCTGGATGTCAGCTTCTGATGCTGTTCGTTCCAGGTGACGACTTGCACGTGACCGTTGTGCCCTTCCAATGTTTGATTCATGCTCAGATTACTAGCAGTCGCTACATTGCGGGCCTTTCCTCCACCGGTCGACCCGCTAGGATTCGAGTCGACTCGAAGTACTTTCAGCAAACCGTCTTCTCCGCCGACTGCTATGTAACCTTCCTTCTGATTCCATGCTATACAGTTGAGCCGGAAGTTGTTCGGTATCGCAATCTTTTTACTCAGATAGACAAACATTTTGATCGCATGGATTAAGGAACGTTTGAATCAACGCGCAATCAATACTCCATGTTCTTAAGGAAGTTTCTGGAATGGAAAACGTGAAAAATTACTCTAACACACTTCACCGCTGTACTGTCAAAATATTTTTTTTATGCTACTTACATTGAGCCAGTACTTGACAATTGATAAACATGTTTATTGTTGTGATTGGCAGATGTATTCTGTGCCAGGAGCGTGTAGCGCGTTCAAATCTATTTAAATACTTTGAACGCATAACAATCTCCCATCAAAAACTCAATTTAAGAAGTCAAAGAAAGATGTAAACAACAGGATTTAATTGGGTGCATACATTGAATTGGTGTACATATGTCAATTGCAATCCTGTTCACAATGCGTACGAAAAGTCGTGTCGTTGTTTCTATTTGTTTCAAATGAATACTATATTTTTTTAACCTTGCTACAATTAGAATAATTTATTAAAAAATTGCCCGCTGTAAATTGAGTTACATTGTAAAGCAATCTGTCTCCAGATTAGCTGGCGGTATTTGGCATTCGTAAGGTTGATTTAGGTTAAGTTAGGTTACTCGACTAAATGCGAAATTCCGAGAATCAATTTGCATCGCGCATGCCTATGGAAGTAGAATTCTATGAATATAGTTGCAGAATGAACGATCTATGAGCATGAGTATGTGCTCTATTTCGTACGTATTGTTACCGATGCGTCAGTTCGCATGCGCAAAAGATCAAAATCCATTCAACATCGCTGCCGCATGGGCAGACATGGGCAGTAAATTTTTGTTGTTTCAGGACGAGTGACGGGAGGACTGATCCACAATGAAAGGAGACCTCGGTTCAGTGTATTATTTAATATAATTTACTTATAAATAAATCGTGCGGATGCAGATGCAATAATGAAAACGTCAATAAGCGATACGCGTATTACAATTCGCATTCTGAAAAAGATTCTCTCTCTCTCTCTCTTCGTTACTTTGTATCCACCTTTTCTCGCATTCTCTTCCGTTCATAGTCGTCTTTTTCAGGGAGACCACAATCTCAAGTGAAGAACGACGATGGTACCCAGCCAAATTTCCAAAGAGATTCCATCGAATCGTTTTGATGAACAGTGGAGTTACATATTGTGTTTTAGAGTAATCCGGCGGCGTGTCCCGAATACCGCGCCACAATGTTTTAAAGCGAGGTAGAGAGGGCGGGAAATATTTTTTGAAATTCCAGCAGGAGCCCTGTGCTTCCTCGCCGCTCTGAACAACAAGAGGCTTGCGTAGAACAATAATAACTCTCTCTCTCTCTCTCTCTCTCTCTCTCTCTCGGATTGCACTAGACCATCAAATAGAGTCGATAGTGTATATAGCACGATCTTAAAAAATCTGACGAAATTCCAGTACCAGCATCGATTTACTCGAAACGACGTTATATCGACGTAATAAAAACTCGCGATTCAGCCAACAACTTTCCGTCGTATCGTTTAACCATATAGTGACATTTAGTTATGTGATAGCGATAATTGACGGCGCTGTTCTTTTTTTATTCACATGCTCGCGCGTACACACACGCACGCACACGCACACAGACATGTTCGCAGAATCATTCTCTCCGTAACATATATATGTATGTCGATGATCAATGATCGAGGGGAATCGTTTGATATGCGAACCCACCAGCCAACTTGATAGTAGTTATGATTTTTTTTTTTTTAAACATGTTCGTCGTCTGCTCGTTGTTATTGTTGCATTGATCCCGCAAGGAGAAGCTGATGAATCGATTACACGAGAAGAGTAATTATTATCGAATAGGTTAAAAAGAATGATCAAGCAAGAAGACCAGACGTGGATTACAGCCGTGTGTCACCTTTTTTATTACAAGAGAGAAACGATCCACGCTTCGAAACGATCGGATCGAAAACATTCGCCTGTCGGTAAAAAGCTAAGCGATCCCATGTAAATTCAATCGATCGAACGTTCATCAGTCGGTAAGAAACTAACTACGATACGCGTTGATAAAACAGAGATACGTGTAGATAGTAAAATGTCGATTACGTCGGCGTCGAATTCGCGAGCATAATTTTTCTTGATCTCCTTTCTTGGACGTACGAAACATGACAATGCTATAAAGTCGAATAAATCGATATATTAACAATTAACAACGTAACATAATAGAAACCGCTTTAATTTCTCATAGAATGAAACATATAAAATTCAATGCAAACGACGTACTTGTTAACCAATCGTGAAACTTTCATTATAATCTGATCAAACAGGTAAATCATCGGGAAAAACTTCATAGAAATCATGTATCTTAAATATGTCGACGGTAAATTGAAATTTCATTAAATGTTATCTATCTATCTATATATGTATATGTATATATAGGTAGTTATAGCTTCAGTTAAAAAAATAATATTTAAGATAAATGTGCAATATTCACGACGACATGAATAATGGATAACAAACGTTTCTGTTCCATTCCTTTTTTTTTGTCGATTGATTATTTCTCCTACTCTTTTGTTGTTAAACACACACGCGCGCACACGCCTACGCAAGCGCTCCAACACAACGTACACAACACTGTTTCTAACGAAAGAAAAAATAATGTCTAATTAACGTTCGTTTCTTATTATCTTAAAGTCACTCACCGGTGTTTTTGTTGATCGGTTCTACCAATTGCAAGTATATACCCGGTGATCAACGAAAAGGTTAACTTGGCTTGGTTCGACAGTTGACAAAAAACCATATACAAATCTATATTACTGTTCTTTAATAATTCATTACGATTTCGGATGGTGAGAATTGTTTACAATCTACGATCGAAAATAATTTCGTAACACCGTGTGAACTGTGAAAATTGATTGCTATTCGGAAACGATGTTGGAAAGATGACACGGAAATAAATCGATCGAAACACCGTGAGGACGTTCATCATCTACATATGTATAGCCTGGCGAATAATTAATTGTTCATTGTATACGGGCCGATACTGTGCGCCCATAAAACATGTAAAGTGTTTTGCACATTCATTCTATCAACAATAGAAGCATTTTAAAAGCCTACGGTTTATTTAAGAAAATTCTAGTCTCCATTTAAATGGCTGCTCGCGGTACAAACAAATAAAAAAGTACGCGATCCGCATACATTGAGGAGTGTTAATTGAGCGTGCGTCACTATCGATGTACAAGATACAGGAAACTGTTGGAATCGACTGCCTCGAGCGTGTAAACATGATCGAACCGATACACCAGGAGGGACGCGTGAACAAATTCGAAACACTGGATCTCGTTCAAAGAATCATTTTAACACGTTCACGTCGGCGTGGTTACCGTCGTTGATTACAAACACGGTTCGCAACAAAACAAAAAAAGAAAAAACGGTGCTGGCGCGAACGTGTTAAACCAGTTTCCTGCGATAAAATTCTCTCCTACAAAAAAAAAACAAATTCATCGAAGAAAACAAAAATATCGACCGTTTCGACGGCGACAAACAAATGTTACATACCTCACGCATAGGCGTAAACGCGCCACGTTCGAACGTCTTTCTAGCACGAAAAGCGTCCCTAAATCCGACGAAGCGAGTCGGTTTGCTTTTAAATTCATCGTTACATCGTTAACGTAAAACGTTCCGATAATATATATATATATATATATATATATATATATATTGATTCGAAGTTTCCGTCGGACTCAAAAAGAGAAAACAAAAACAAAATAGGAAAGCACCTATCGTATCGTCATCTTTCCAACGGGAGAAAAGAAACTGTTCACGCGAATTCTAGCGGAACGCCTCGGTTAAATTGTAAAGCGAACAACTGCACAGTGTTTAATGGAGTCGCATATCAATCTAGATGTCAAGAAAAGAAAAAGGAAAAAAAAGAAAAGAGGGAAATCAGTACGAGTCAGCGTGGGAGAATGGGGTGGGGGGAAAAATAAAATCGAAAAGAGACAGGAATACAAGGAAGGAAGGAAGGAAGGAAGGAAGGAGAAAAAGAACATGTGACAGGATAAAAACTCCTATAGGTCATAGACGCGTACGCAGCCACGCACGCACGCACGCACAGGCAGACAGGCAGACAGACGCACACGCGCACACATTGCACCGTTCATTATGATTCGTAGAGAATTGTGGTATAGAGTACAAAGAACTCTATTCGCTTCGCTCGTGTCGCAACGAATTAACATAATCGCTAAACTTGTTACTTCTTTCTGTTTCTTTTGTATTTTTTTTTGTTTTGTTTTTATTATTTCCATCAACAGGGACACCGTGCAAATCCGGAAAAGGAAAGCTCGCGTTTACGAGACATCGTCGGACAATGAAATCCAGCTGCCGCTGTGTTTTAATCGTTAAGAAAAGACCGCCGCATATATGTCATATGTCAATCCTCTTCCTCTACGGTAACGATAATCTCATCTCCTTTCCTGTTGTATTTCCGCTCTAAACAGGCTTGTAATCTTTGCGCTTTAACTTGTATCAGTTATAACTTACTCTTCGTCTCTCTTGTCTTCTCTTTTCTTCTTCTCTCTCTATCTCTCTCTCTCTCTCCATCTATCTATATATCTCTCTCTCTTTGTGTGTCCCTCTCCTTCGATGTGTCCACGATTTCTCGAGTTTATCGTAGTCTTTTTCTAGTCGTCCATTTACGCGGCCTTTGCGGATTTTGTTTTTCTGTATTCTCTGACTCTCTTGGCTACTTCTACATGTGGATTCTTCAGTTGCCCGACAAATTCGCTGAAATTGTTTGCCCCCGCGTGGTGGTACATACGTTCTCCTATTTACTCTTCCTTCACTGGCTCTTTCTTACCAAGCGGTATCGCGGCTCTCACCCTGTAACAATAATAGAAACGGATATATTTATATGTACATATGTACAATCGATCGATCGTTCACATCGTCCCTCCCTCTCTACTATAACATTCCCCCGGACAATTCCGCCGGTTGCTACTCTTTACGCTAGAACCGTGAACGTCGTTCGAACTGCTTAACTTTTCAAACGTAACAGACAAAAGCGTGCGGTCGATTCCGACTTGTCGGCTCCAGACCGGTCCCGTGAATTAATATAGACAAATTTTACGGGTGGAAAGCGAACCTTTTTCACGTTTAACCCTTTGCACTCGAAGCTATTTTAATACTATGCAAAAACTATCTGTTGTATGCCGGTGATACCACTTTGGTGCCATTTAAAAAAACTGAAACAACACTTGGACTATATTTCCTGGGTGTTAAAAGGCAGCTAACTAACTATAGCATTGTGCTTATTCAACTAAGAATTAAGTACGAAAATTCTTGAATGACATATCCTAATTTTAGGAATTTATATTACCGCCATCTTCGAAATTTTCTTTAAAATCCACAATTTCCAAGCTATTATGCCGGTGTCAAACGAAAGAACTATATCTAAGATTCGCGGACGGTACAGTGTTAACTGTAAATCTAAAATAATTTTTCTGACTTATAGTATCTTCATTTTACACGACAAAGCGCATTTCACGCGTATGAAATTGAGTCCTGCGACTCGTACAACAGTTAGACTTTTCATAATCTTTTATATCTGAGCTTTGACAAAGTAGAAATGATCATGGAACGTGGTGTAACAATTTCAGTGGTGCCTCAGAGTCACCGCTCGAGTGCAAAGGGTTGATAACCGTACAATTCAATAAAATCTTGTCAATAATTACAAAGAAAAGAAATGAGAGTATTTGAACCAGACAAATGGAAGATAATCTCTCGACAGTCTTGGAAAAAATAACATTTTCTTTAGGCATTTAAATTCCCACGCACAGGGGTGTCTTTAATTCTACGGATCCACGAACGCTCGACGGCGCAACGTCTCGCGAGAGAAGCAACCGCCATCATCCGTCAGCCCCTCTGGACGTTGATACAGCAGCAATTTGAGACATCGGTGTATTTTAATAGAACCTGTACCACCGACGAGCATCCATAACTGCCGCGATAATTGACTGGTGTATCGCGCCGAGCAAGGGGAGCCCCGCCACGTTCTGCACACGATGCCCTCTCACTCGGCGAGCTATGCATTCGTGGCATCTGTGTACGTGCAATCCGGCCGTACACGGAAAGTCTGCCGAGCAAGCCGGAACCGCCGAAAATTTCTGCTTACCGTGCGGTGAGTTCGTTGATGTTGCCGTAGACCAAGGCCAAATTCTGATCGATTTGCGCCTTGTTCGTCTCGTACACCTTCGGTAGTGTGAAGAGGCTAACCACTTCTGAAACAGCAAACGTCGACAAAATTCTCTTTAGTCCTCCGTGATGCACGCACACACACGCGCGCGCGCGCGCGCGTTTCATTTAATTAGAGCGGAAGGAATATCGAACCATATTTAGAACTCGGTTGCCCAACGAGAACAACGACCTCGTTAGTCGTTCCGACGCGGGTAAACTCGCAAATTTAGGTCCTCTGTGCCCAAATTCTCTGTGTCCTATTAATATCGCCGTGGACTTGCACACATACACACAGGGTGAGCCAATAAATTTGTCCGCTTCGAATATGTCCGTTGTTTCAAATAGCAGACAGAGATTTCAAATTCAGATTCTACGTAGACCACGTGCAAAACGTTCAAGCATTTATGCTCGGTGGGCGATAACGCGCAGCGTATTAATTACAAGGAAACTTTTAATTCGCTAATGCACGTTCACGGACCTCGGGCGGAACGGTGGCGCGCCCGTAATAAGGTCTGAGACGCGGCAGGTGAGTCACCTAATTCTACCAACCTCGAATAATGCATGAACGTATCGCGCGAACGCTTGTTACGTGACAAAGCGTTTCTCGAACGAAAGATTGCGCGCGGCACCGAGCAAAGTTTATAACATATTAACCAGTTAGTTCTTTTAACTTTGCAATCGACGCGGGTAATTCTTCTTGGAAACATTTCTTGGCGTAACAAACGGTCGGCTTAGTATACAGGGTGTCCCAAAAGCGTCTCGCAATCCGAAAGTGGCGGGTTCCACGGGTCGTTCGAAGCAACTTTTTCCTTTACAAACATTTTCTCCGAGGCACCGTTAACGAGTTATCAACGAGAAACGGTGACCAATGAGAGGCGAGCTCGGCTGGCGCGAGGCGACCGAGCCAATGAGCGGAACTGGTGCTTCGCGCGCTGGTTGGCTGGGCCGCCTCGCGTCAGCCGTACTCGATTCTTATTGGCGCACTGTTTTTCGTTGATAACTCGTTAACGGTGCCTCGGAGAACATTTTTGTACAGGAACAAGTTGCTTCAAACGATCCGAGGAATCCGCCATTTCCGGATTGCGAGACATTTTTGGGACATCCTGTATACATAATTGCAAGCGTGGTAGAGTCAGACGTCCCGGCCTCCGCGACGATAAGTGGTTCGAATCCGGATCGGTTGGCCTTACCGAGGATTAGCAGAGTCAAGCCGTTGAACCAAGAGCCCACGTAGGTGAGGCACCAAAGGATGACGCCGAATTTCAGCGAGTCGACGAAATCCTCAACGAGGAAGAGCCTGCGGAGTTCGTTGACCGCCGCGTTTGCATGCGCGACGGCCACATCCGCGACTTCGTGCACCTTTTCCGCTGGTACCGTTAAGTCCATCTCCAAAATGTCCCTGAAATTCGTAGAGAAACCGCCGTTATATTCACCGTTCGAACCGGTGTCTAGGCACATGAGTGACTAGTTATCGTTCGAAGGCGAACGAAATTATGCTTACTTGAACGGATGTCCATCGGATGTCTTCTGGATAGCTTGAAAGACTGTCTTGTAGATCCTGAACAGAACGTTCCCGGTGAGGACGAAGAAAGAGATGTAAGCGAGGACGCTGATCAGACTGAAGAAGACCAGCGAGAGGAGCACGCAGAGTATGGCCCCGAAGACGGGGCCCGTTTTCTTTGGATCGCGCCAATAGATTAGGTCCGCGACTAAAAAAACAGAAAGAACATCGCGTTGTTTCAAACATCCGTCAACGGTAATCCGTCGATAGATCTCCGGGTTAGGTCCCAATTACAGTAATTGTCTCTCTAATTGACGCTCAGATTGCTCACAAAAATGGACAATTTGGGGAGAGGAGATACGATTATTCGAGCCTCGCGGTTTATTTTTATAGTTATAAATTGTCCACGATTGTAAAAATGAGCCGCAAGGAACTCGAATAATCGCATCTCTTTTTCCCAAATTGTCCATTTTAATGGACAATCTGAGCGTCAGTAAGGGAGACATTACTGTATACGAGAGACATTTAGGTACGAACGGAAAAGAATAAAAGAAAGTTTGGATCAGAATAAAAGCAGGATTAAATGTGTCTATTAAGCAAGCTTGTTGTCCACGCTGTAGAGCCTCATCCACTGACAAACTCTTCGATTTTGCTTACACTCGTTCGACGCGAGCTACCGAGTCGAAAATACGTCGCTATTTTTTTTAGTGCTGAAACTAGCGAAAAATATCGTTGGTTTCGACGCTTTGAATTTTAAACGTTCGTCGTTTCGTCGCCGTGCCAATAATGATACGTTTAACCAGTTAAGTACGTTCGACGTCTATATCCGTCATGGAGATGTTTGTGTCATGACGATTATATTCGTCATTCGTAAAATTTTGTTACAATTTGATATTTAAATTATATATTCCCAAAAATGTCTAGCAATCCGGAAATGGCGCGTTCCTCGGATCATTTGAAGCAACTTCTTCCTTTACAAAAACGTTCTCCGAGGCATCGTTAGCGAGTTATCAACAAAAAACAGTGCGCCAATAAGAATCGAGTACGGCTGACGCGAGGCGGCCCAGCCAACCAGCGCGCGACGCCCAATTCCGCTCATTAGCTCGGTCGCCTCGCGCCAGCTGAAGTCGCCTCTCCTTGGTCACTGTTTCTCGTTAATAACTCGTTAACGGTGCATCGGTGAAAATATTTGTAAAGGAAAAAGTTGCTTCGAACGACCCGAGGAACCCGCCACTTTCGGATTGCGAGACATTCTTGGGACACCCTGTACATACATTTTCCTCGCCGAATCGCACGATACATTCGAACGCGTTTTTATCGTTTTCTGCGTCGCCGTAGGCTATAACCGTCTGCATATAGAGCACCGCCGGACCCTGTGATCCATTTTTCACGAGAAGAGACCCGAGATGGTAGATACAATAGCCGTCGAGCTCGCGCCATCAAGTATTCGAGTGTCCTCGGACGTTGGCGGGGTACAGTAGTCGGTTACAACGGCGTTCGTTAGCTCTCTTCACGCGGAACGCGGAGACTATAGCTTCCGAGCAAGTCCGCGGAGAGTTCGCCGGTCCGGTAAGCGAACCGCGACCCCCTCGGCTTTTCCGTAAATCATTTCGGACGAGTTCGCGTGCGCGCGCATCGGTCGAGCTCTCTTCACGCGGCCAGCATTTCCCGGCGAATTTCCCGTTTCGACGAACAGCCACGGGCTAGAAAATCTTCGAACGAAACGCACGCGTGCCCCACTGCCTCGGATTCAAACGTTGAACGCGTGCACGTCGGTCGCGCCATATGTTCGTTGCGAACGGTTATCATCGATCGCGATCAATTCTCTCTCGGCGGCGACCACGGGAAACCGATCGCGAACTCACCGGTGAAATCCTTGCTCCCTGGAAGCTCGTCCGCGGAGGCTTTCGATTTGTTTCGTCGCGACATACTCGTGGCAAGATACAGAGAGAGAGAGAGAAAACTTTCAGGCCAGGAGAGGTTATGTTCCGGAGGTTAACAGTTCCAGTTGACACTGCCGTCTGTCTCTAGTTCCGCTCGCACATGGAACTAGCCTCCTAGCCTCGAACATTACGAGACGGCAGCCGGCTCGCTCTACGTGTACCTACGTGTACGGAACAACCAGGCCAAGTGGGAGAACGTGCGAGGGGCGGGGCGCCGGCGAGGGGGCTAACTGGAATTGGAAAAGGAAAGGAAAGAGACACGGGGGGAAGGCAGAGCCGGCGGAATGATCGAAAAGAAGAAAGACCGAGACTCCGTCGGTGAAAGAAGAACGACGGACTCTTGGTATCTCTCTCACCGACCGCTAAATCTACCAAGTCCTAAAACTATTTACAGTAATGTCTCTCTAACTGACGCTCGGATTGTCCACAAAAGTGGACAATTTGGGAAGCGGAGATACGATTGTTCGAGCCTTGTGGCTTATTTATGTAATATAATAATTATTTATATAATATAATATAATATAATATAATATAATATAATATATATAATATAATACAATACAATACAATACAATACAATATAATATAATATAATATAATATAATATAATATGTATCTCCTCTCCCCAAATTGTCCATTTTTGTGGACAATCCAAGCGTTAATTAGGGAGACATTACTGTAACGCTTTATGAACACTTTGACTGCCGGCCAGCTCAGAGATTTCATAAGATTCAAGCATTTTAATTAAAGTTGAATTAAAATTGACAAGTTGTACGGCATTCGTTACTTTTTCAACGGCATCCATACTTTTTGCGGATCCTAATAAAATTTGGAGAAGCAATTGACCAGCTTAGTAGATTTTGCGTTGCTTGCACTGCAACAACGTGTCCACTATGAAAATTTCGAACAAAATTTATTAAATCTATGCACTCGGAACAAAATTTTACTTTTTTATTATCAACGTTTAGCGCCGATCAAAAAAGTCGCATATAATTAGAAATATATAATTAGAAAAGGAAATAAATTTAATAAAAAAGGAAATACTAATTAAATATAATTAGAAAAAGAATATAAATTGAGAGATAAAATTGTTGCTTATTAAACGCACTAAGAAAACAATATTCTCTCAAATATGGTCGACAATATTATATCGTCGTTTCGCATTAAAACGGTTAAACATCAAGTCTGAGAATTTATTAATAAGAAACAAGTGCTAATCAACGTAGGGCTGTGATCGTAATGCAAACGGTTAAGAGTCTCGGAGCTAGCCTAAACGGATCATCCAGAGTATGCCAACGTTGCCCCGGCTGAACGAGACAAAAAAAGAAAATAGTTCCAGCCGGCCGGTGAAGCAGGGAATAATCGTGTCTCGGTCGGTTTCAGTTTTCGCCAAAGATCTCGTGTCAACGAACCGATCGATCGGCGAACGCCGTCGAACCGTGCGCGACAGACACAGGTGGCTCGTGTCTCATGGCGGCGTTAGACGACGTTGCGCGGAGAGCATACGAGATTACGTATGGTATCGGCCGAGCGTCCGATCAATGACAGCAGCTGATGCGACGGCCCCGAAGTAGTCCTAATAATAGAAATAGGCGAGTAGCGGATCCACGAAATTTTGTATCGGCGAATGACGGCTTTGTCTCTAATCCAAAAAGAACGGCCTATTAAACCGTCGTCGTCCAAGGCCTCGCATTGTCAACCGGATCGCTCGCTCGCTCGCGCGCACGCACGCACCGCCACCGTTGTTCCCGTCTAATTCTGCCAAACGAATTTATACCGTCTGTCGCAATTCCCGATCGCGAACGGGCCCCCGGGAGGGGTGCGTTACGGTAGAACTTAATCTAGCTCTAATTGCGAGCAACTCTCGTTTTATTCGAGATTCGAGCGAGGCACGCGCGCTCTAGGCCGGGACGACGACGCTCGACATAACCTCGACGACGCTCGAAAGCTGTCTCTACCGCCCGATCGATGCCGAACGCCTAGCCTAGGGGTCTGAAGTCCGCGCGACGTAACGAGTCGAGGATGAGTCATCCGCGGTGGGTACGTGCACGCGAGCCGGCCAGAAGCCTCGTAGAAATCGGAATTTCGGACGCGGACGCGTGCAAGAGGTAGCGAAGGCGTATCAACGTCGACGTATCTCGAGGTCGATCGCGGAGTCGAACGAGCCGTGAACTTTCGAACTGATCGATTGGGACAATCGTTCGTACGAGAAACCCGATCCAATGGGGCGAGGATAGAGAGCTGGGAAACCGATGGTCCGGTGCGGTACGGTACGGTTTCCCGGTGGAAAAATCAATAAGCCGTCTCGCCTGGCGTCGCGGCGGCCGGACATTGCCTCCGTTTCCCATACGATTCTCAGAAATACACCTGCCGACGCGGCTCGTTCGGACCCTCGGCACGTGTGTCCGCTCCGCCCTCTTCTTTGCCGCGGTGCCCCTTTTTCTGGCAAATTACACACGGGGGATTCGGCTCTGAGCAATCAACCCCGACGGAAACCCGACACCGCCGTCTCCCGCTAACTATGTTTCGTAAATGGAAAACACGCTCGGCTCTCCGTCGCCGATTCGCTTCCATCACGAAGGATGTATATACAGGGTGTCCTCGGGTCATTTGAAGCAACTTTTTTCCTTTACAAAAGCTTTCTCCGAGGCACCGTTTACAAGTTATTAACGAGAAACAGTGACCAATGAGAGGCGAGGATCGGCTGGCTCGCGGCGGCTGAGTCAATCAGCGGAATCGGGCTTCGCGCGCTGGTTGACTGGGCCGCCATCAGCCAAGCGCTCGCCTCTCATTGGTCAGTGTTTTTCGTTAATAACTCGTTAACGGTGCCTTGGAGAACATTTTTGTAAAGGAAGAAGTTGCTTCAAATGATCCGAGGAACCCGCCAGACATTTTTGGGACAACCTGTATGTAACTCTTTTCGTTGCTGTACCAGCTCAATCATCGTCGAACGTGACGCTGAGACCCGCGAGCAACGTAGGAAAGCTACGTTCGAGCCGAGGAAGGAGACCGAATTGTGTTTCAAATCGGGGATGAAGTTTTCGAATCGATACGCTATCTTGATACCAGGGGCCTATACGACGCACGTTGCGCCGCATACATAATGCGAGCGGCGGTCGTAGAATAATCGGTGCCTCGTGTCGCGAGTCAACGCGAAACATTCGGCTCGAGGAACCGTCTCGGGCGCGGACAACGATTTGTTTACATTGCTCCGCGAAAATAACGTACGCGGTCAATGTAAATATTGGGCAGTCTTCTATGAAAA